AAGGAAATCAGGTTCCGACGGACCAACATTTATTGACTTATTACATCCCCTGATGGAACCTTTCCAATACCCTTTGCTCTAGCCGCAAGGCACTGTGTGTAGTTGGTCACTGTGACGACAAAGGTGACAAACTGACCCAGATTAGTAGCACTGCTTGCAGAGTTAAACATGATCCACGGTCCATGTAGTAATGATCACAGAACTGACATTTATTGACTTATTACATCCCCTGATGGAACCTTTTCAATACCCGTTGCTCTAGCCGCAAGGCACTGTGTGTAGTTGGTCGCTGTGACAACAAAGGTGACAAACTGACCCAGATTAGTAGCACTGCTTGCAGAGTTACACATGATCCACGGTCCATGTAGTAATGATCACAGAACTGACTTCCTCTGTTCGGACTCTGCAAAGGGTTACTGAACAAAATACTTCCCAAAGTCCTGCTATGAAACTCCTCCCGTTGACGAGAGGGGGTTTGTCCAGTACAGACGTGACTACACCGATCGGGGGACCATCCAATCGGGAATCAAAAATATAGCTGTACACGGCAGTTTCTGTCGACTTTTTCTCCGACTCTCTGATGACAGTTAGAACCTCCGTTAACCAGCTGTATCTGTTGTAGTATAGTAGTTCCAAAATTTATCTTTTTCCTTCTTTTTTATACTTTAAAGGTTGTTAGAACCATTTATTGTTGTTGTTACTTATTGTTGTTTATATTTATTATTCAGATCATTATAAACTGTTATTTAAGTAATTGTTCTTTCAGATTTTATTGGTGTTACCTATATAGGTATGAGACGTTTTGCTTAATAAATTGTTATTATTGTTTGTTAAACTTTAAATTTTAATTGTCGTATTTTCATTCTTCTCTTAAATATTTTCTGTAAACTGGCATGTACCGTTGGTAGCATAAAGAAATAAATAACTAAATATGGAAATCTGGTTCCGAGGGACCAACATTTATTGACTTATTACATCCCCTGATGCAACCTTTTCAATACCCGTATCTCTAGCCTCAAGGCACTGTGTGTAGTTGGTCGCTGTGACAACAAAGGTGACAAACTGACCCAGATTAGTAGCACTGATGGAAGAGTTACACATGATCCACGGTCCATGTGGTAATGATCACAGAACTGACTTAATCTGTTGGGACTCTGTAAAGGGTTACTGTACAAAATACTTCCCCAAGCCCTACTCACGTTGACGAGAGGGGGACAGACGTGACTACACCAATCGGGGGACCATTCAATCGAGAAACAGAAATATTACTGTACACGGCAGTTGGGTAGTCCCGTAAAACAACACACACATGTTGTTGAAATATGAGGCCCACATCAATTTGGAGCTAGCGTCTACTCGCCCCGTAATCAAGTACCTCTTTTAATACCTTATGAAGGGAGGATCTCTCCAGAACGTCACAGTTACTACCTTCAGTAAGCAATATGATGAGGTACAGCATTACGTGACGAAGAGAATGGTGGGCGCCAGTGACGCATGCTGGTGGTTGTTAAAGTTCCTAGTCCTTGAATCGGAACCGACGGTTGATTGTCTGCCCATCCATCCGAAGGGCAAGTAGTCCGTTTATTTCGACCTGGACAACTGGAAGAGGCAGCCGCTAGAAACAGCTTTAAACTCACCATTTACTTTGACCGGCCTCGTATTACCGTGTTTGACGAGTATTTCACACGTATTTCTGTGTTTCTTGGAATTTTAGAAAACTAAGTAATGCATGCAGATGTAAAATACTGAGGTGTAATTTATGGAAAAAGAACAACGTTCAAGTCTAATAACGTTTAATTTTTTATTCTGATTTTACTCAAAGGCACTAATAGTTTGCTATTTTCATTATTATTCATATCAACTTAACAACAGTAACATTATAACCATTCACAATTTGTTCAATCAGTTGTCTAATCATTAGTTCTGACAAAGTCAATTCTATTGGTCTATAACTAGTTAATTATAAAACGTAATAACTTAACCAATGAATAACTGAATAACAAATAAATGGCTCATAAAACCTACGTTGAAACTCTGGCAGGGCTCTTGCGCCGCAGATCGCGGCCTCCCCGATGTACACGATGACATGACGGAGTTGGGTAGAGAGCTCCTCTTACACGGTGAAAATCAACAGAGAGCGTTTGTGGAGGAATAGACTTTGAAAAGTGGAACTCGAACATGAGATAAGGGGAGAGGATAGATATGTTGATTCTCTCCCCACATTAATTACAAATTTTATTGTCAGGCACTTCCCTGAAAACACAATGACTTTCGATCAAAGTACATATCCCACAAGAATTAATCAGGTCACTTTTATAGACAATAATGGGAAAATTAGGTACATAGACTTTGAAAAGTGGAATTCCAAAATGAGAAAGAGGAGACGATGCATATGTTGATTCTCTTCCCACTTTAAAAACACATTATATGCTCAGGTATTTTCTTGAAATCACTATGACTTTCGATCAAAGTTCACTTCTCACAGGAATAAATCAGGTCACTTAGAAATGAGAGACCATAAAACAGAAAAATCAGAAATATTGACTTTGAAAAGTGTAACATGAACATTAGATAAGAGGAGACATATCTATGTTGATTCTTTTCCCAAATTAATAATAAATTTTATTCTCAGGCACTTCCCTGAAATCACAATGACTTTCGATCAAAGTAGACTTCTCATTAGAATAAATCAAGTCATTTAATAAAAATTAAAGACCATAAAGGGAAAATCAGAAACATAGACTTCGAAAAGTGGAACTCGAACATGAGAAAAGAGGAGACGATGGATATGTTGATTCTCTCCCCACATTAATAACACATTTTATTCTTGGTCACTTTACTGAAATCATAATGAATTTCGACCAAAGTACACTCTTCACAAGAATAAATCAAGTCTATTGGAAATTATAGCCCATAAAAGGGAAAATTCAGAAACATAGACTTCGAAAAGTGGAACTCGAACATGAGAGAAGAGGTGACAATGGATATGTTGATTCTCTCCACACATTAATAACACATTTTATTCTTAGGTACTTTCCTGAAAACACAATGACTTTCGACCAAAGTACACTTTTCACAAGAATAAATCAGGTCTCTTGGAAATGATAGACCATAAAGGGAAAATTCAGAAACATAGACTTCGAAAAGTGGAACTCGAACATGAGATAAGAGGAGACGATGGATATGTTGATTCTCTCCTCACATTAATAACACATTTTATTCTTAGGTACTTTCCTGAAATCATAATGAATTTCGACCAAAGTACACTCTTCACAAGAATAAATCAAGTATATTGGAAATTATAGACCATAAAGGGAAAATTCAGAAACATAGACTTCGAAAAGTGGAACTAAACATGAGAAAAGAGGAGACGGTGGATATGTTGATTCTCTCCCCACATTAATAACACATTTTATTCTTAGTCACTTTCCTGAAATCATAATGAATTTCGATCAAAGTACACTCTTCACAAGAATAAATCAAGTCTATTGGAAATTATAGACCATAAAGGGAAAATTCAGAAACATAGACTTCGAAAAGTGGAACTCGAACATGAGAAAAGAGGAGACGATGGATATGTTGATTCTCTCCCCACATTAATAACACATTTTATTCTTGGTCACTTTCCTAAAATCATAATGAATTTCGACCAAAGTACAGTCTTCACAAGAATAAATCAAGTCTATTGGAAATTATAGCCCATAAAAGGGAAAATTCAGAAACATAGACTTCGAAAAGTGGAACTCGAACATGAGATAAGAGGAGACGATGGATATGTTGATTCTCTCCTCACATTAATAACACATTTTATTCTTAGGTACTTTCCTGAAATCATAATGACTTTCGACCAAAGTACACTCTTCACAAGAATAAATCAAGTCTATTGGAAATTATAGACCATAAAGGGAAAATTCAGAAACATAGACTTCGAAAAGTGGAACTCGAACATGAGAGAAGAGGTGACAATGGATATGTTGATTCTCTCCTCACATTAATAACACATTTTATTCTTAGGTACTTTCCTGAAATCACAATGACTTTCGACCAAAGTACACTGTTATATATGGTATTAAGAGGTAAAATTGTGGGAAATACCTTTAGATCCTAAAACTGAAGATCCATTAGGGTTTTGACGAGAATCGAAGGACCACAGATGAAAGATGATGTTGAGAAATGACTATTGTTGTGTAGTATGTAATTCTTCACTGATTTAAATTAAAACTCTTCTTCATTAATAAAAAGAAAGCAATTCACTACTCATGAATATTCTGGACTGTACACGAAAATTTACAACACATCTACTTTAAATAAAAATATCTTCTTGGATCCTAGCTTGACACTTGGTACTATAAATTTGGAATCCATATTTAAATGAGAAATGATGAAATAATGCACTTGGAGCGGTAAGAGAGAAAGAGAGATTAAAATATTTAATATGAACTAAACCAAAAGGTAAGCACTGTGTACTGTGAGAGAGGTGGGTCTAAACTGAACTGACTAGTACGAAGTGCTGTAGTGAACTTTGGACAGTGATGTCATCATATCAGCTGTTGTATCCTTTCAATAACTGAACTAAAAACTTGACTTGAATGTTAATACTACTTGATTAATTGTTTATATTTGACTGTATATAGTTCATATGTTATTAAATAAATATTTTATTAAATGTCCTTAGTTGAATTACTGAATATTTAACATACCGGCCCCCCCTGAACCCCTGGGTTCTGAAAACAACACAAAAAATTAGAAAATCAATAAAAAAGGGGGGTGGTAACTCCTCTTCACTATTCCATAGGAAGGACAGACACCTTTGTCACAGGACGAGAGAGGTGTCCACTTGCGGTCTTCAGGTGCACGACCCGTACTATTCCATCAGTACCAGGTGAAACGGAGAGAACTCGTCCAAGCTTCCAGGAGAGTGGAGGCAAGTTGTCTTCATGAATGACAACCAAGTCATTGACTTCAATATTCTTCTTGGGGTTGACCCATTTATTTCTCTCTTAAAGAGTGTACAGATACTCTTTCTGCCAGCGAGCCCAGATATGTTGACTGAACTGTTGGACTACCTGCCAGCGTTTTAATCGGTTGATAGGAATGCTACGCAAGTCAGGTTCAAGAGGTGTCATAAGAGGACCACCTACTAAAAAATGACCTGGCGTCAAAGCTTCTAGGTCCGAGGGATCAGAAGAAAGAGGAGTTATAGGCCTAGAGTTCATCATTCCTTCAATACGGGTGATTAAAGTCGAAAACTCTTCCAGTGACAGGGTCTGTTGTCCAATGACTCTTATTAGGTGAAATTTCACACTTTTGACGGCCCTCTCCCAAAGGCCTCCCTGATGAGGTGCATGTGGAGGTAAGAAGTGAAATTTAATATTGAAATTCTCAGCGTAGCATTGTACTGTGGAATCCTTGATTAAATTTTCAAAGTTGCGTCTGAGTTTTTCGGATGCACCTGTGAAATTTGTAGCATTGTCACAGTGAATATCTGAAACGATTCCTCGTCTGGAGACAAATCTGGTAAGAGCGGCTAAATAGGCATCCGCTGTTAGGTCGGTTACTACTTCTATGTGTACCGCCTTAGTAGAGAAGCAAATAAATATACAAATATAAACCTTGATAGGTTGAACTCGTCTTAGTAGATGTTGCTTCACAAAGAAGTGTCCTGCATAATCTACACCAGATATGGAAAATGGCCTTGAAGGTGTAACTCGATTCATAGGTAATTCCCCCATGAGTGGAGAAGAATGAGGAGGTTTACATCTGAAACATTTTATGCATTTAAAGATCCTAGATCTTATTAAGCTTCTAGCACTGAGAATCCAGTACTTGTTTGCCAGCATAGCCTGAGTTAGAGTTGGACCAGAGTGCAAATATAAGACATGATGGTGGTCAATCAAAATATCAACTAACCTATGACCTTTAGGTAGCAAGACGGGGTGTTTGTGATCTTCAGAGATATCAGCCTTGTTTATTCTTCCCCCTACTCGAATGAGGCCATCTTTATCCAGATAAGGAGCTAGGCGTCTAATGCGTACAGAGCAAGGTTTATTGGATTTCAAACATGAGATTTCTTCAGAAAAATATTCTCGTTGAACCAATTTACAAATCAGGTTATGAGCCTCTTTTATCTCCTGAGAAGTTAAATTCCCAATTTGTTTAACTTTATTTCTGGTGTTATGAATGAAGCGCAGCAGGTATGCGGAAACATGAAGTAGTGTTGTCCAAGATGAGAAGCGAGTGAGGAGAGAAAATGGTTCATCCGGAACAGCAGAGAGAGTGTTAACTGTGAGAATCTTAGTTTCAGGGATAGACTCTTCAGGTAAAGATTTACAGACAGACTTTGGCCAATTTTCTTCAGAGTTACACAACCAGACAGGTCCATTCCACCAAAGTGTGTGGTTAATCAAATCTTGTGGGGCGGTACCCCTTGACCCAACATCCGCTGGATTTTCTAGTGATGAAATATGTTGCCAAAATGAAGGTGGGATATTTTCCTGTATTTCTGCAACTCGATTTGACACATAAACCTTGAGTCGATAAGAGGGCATGCCAATCCATGAAAGCACGATTGTGGAATCGCACCAAGCTGTGTATGAACTAATCTTGCAGTGAGGTGAGAGAAGCTGTATACAGTAATTTAGGAGCTTAGACATCAGGTGTGCTCCGCAGAGCTCCAAGCGAGGTATGGAAATACGCTTCAGAGGTGCGACTCTTGACTTCGCTATCAGAAGATAAGTCGATATAATTCCTTGTGAATTTACAACTCTCAGGTAAACACAACTACAATATCCTGCTTCACTTGCATCAGAAAAAGCATGTAGCTGAATATCTTTAGCAGAAGAAAGTCCCACGTAGCGAGGTATCTTGAGCATTTCAATATATGGAAGTTCATTGGCGAACTTGTTCCAAACTGATATAACGCTGTCGTCTAGGGGTTCATCCCAATCGAGACCAAGTGTCCATAAGTATTGCATGAAGGATTTGGACCAGAAGGTTACAGGAGTTAACCATCCTGACGGGTCATAGATCTGATATCACACTTAAAACAATTCTTTTTGTAGGAGTTTCCTTAATATTTTGAGTTCCTACAGAATAAGAAAAAAACATCTTCATTAGGAATCCATTTAAGTCCTAAAACACTATGAACTGGTTGTTCGGGAGCTCGAAAACCAATAGGTTTTTCTTTGTGATCTTCAGGGATCGACTGTAAGAGTAATGGATTATTCGAAGACCATTTTCTTAACTCGAAACCTCCTTTTTTGAGTAACTGAACCACATCATTTTTCAACAAAAGAGCGTTTTCTACGCAATTACTACCCAATAGGGCGTCATCGACATAAATCTGATCCTTTAGAGCAGTTGCGGCTAGAGGATGATTTTTTCCTTCATCAATAATGAGTTGTTGAATGACACGATTTGCCAAGTAGGGCGATGATGTGAGCCCATAAGTGACAGTCGCTAGCTGATAGATTTGAAGAGGCATTTTATCATTCTCTCTCCAGAAAATAAGTTGAAATATCTGATCAGATTCCTTTACAAGGACCTGTCGAAACATCTGCTTGATGTCGCATGAAAAAACAACCGCATGTCGGCGAAAGTTGAGAATGATGTCACATATGTTGTTGTGGAGTTTTGGTCCTTGATGAAGAATACTGTTGAGAGACAGAGATGTTGATGTAGGTGCTGATGCGTTGAATACTACCCTTAATTTTCCATCTTTAAAAATTCCATGATGTGGAAGGTAGTAATGAGGATTATTTTTAAGACGTGGTGACTGACAGAGTGTTATATGTCCCGAAGACAAGTAATCTCTCATAAAATCAACATAAGTTTCCTTGAAATCAGGATTAGAACGAAATTTATTCTCCAGAGACCAGAATAGGGATTTTGCCACTTTGCTCGAGTTGCCTAATGTTGACGGATCGTCTGAGAAAGGCAAAGAGACAATATACCTTCCTTCAGGAGTGCGAGAGTGCGTAGATACAAAATGTTTTTCACATTTTTCTTCGGCAAAGGATTGCTTGCTTGTAAGAGGGGGTTCCTCTACAGCCCAAAACTGTTGGATAGAGGTGTGAAGATCCAAACTATTGGTGGTTAAGAGTGTGACTAATCCATGAAATGAATTTTTGCAAGTTGAGGCGACAGGGGTCGATCCTAAGAGCGCATATCCAAAAATGGTGTCAATTGCTACAGGCATATTCTCACCAAGTGACAAAAACTGGCCTTTCACAGAGGAGGCAAAAAGGTCAGCTCCAATTAGAACATCAATAGGAGCGGGTTTATCAAAAGTAGGATCGGCTAACATTAAATGTTGCATCTGTGAGCGAACTTCAGGAGTGATCTTAGCTCGAGGTAAATCTGGAGTGATATTATCCAAAATGAAGACAGGGTGAGAGCTTGCCAATACATATCCACTAAGGGACTGGAGAGTGACATGAGTTAACCCTTTTGTTTTCACCTGAGCAGACGAGATGCCATTAATAAGCGTTTTATTAGCATGAGAGCGCTTAATCCCTAAAGACTGAGCACATCTTTGAGTAATGAAGGTAGACTGAGCAGCAGAATCTAAAACTCCCCTACAAACTAGGGTCTTACCTTCGCTTGATTTTACCACAATTAAAGCAGTGGCAAGAAGAACTGTGTTCTCTGTATTTGTCAAACCAACAAAACCAGATTCATTTTTATTTGAGTCAGAACTTGGAGCTCGTTTGTCTGTGTTACCTTTAGACACATTAGGAGAGGGATTATTTTCAGAATCCATAAAATGCAAAAGAGAGTGATGTTTTCTTTTACACGTAGAACATGTACGCCATGAATTGCATTCCTTTACCTTATGCTTATCGCCAAGACAGTTGGTGCACAAATTTTTGCCTTTAACAAAATTATACATTTCTTGTGAAGTCAATTTAAGAAAACCTTTGCATTGATAGATTTTGTGATCTGCACCTGCGCAAAATGTACAAACAGTGCGAGGAGTTGCAATAAGCGCCGATTTATTTGAGCGCTGAGGGGGTTTTACTTGAGTGTGGTGGCCTAAGGTACCCTTAAGAGATGATCCCACATTAGTAAGATTAGCTGCTTCAAGATTTACACAGTGAGACTCAATGTACTTGGTTAACTCATCTAACTAAGGAGTTACAGAGTTATCACTTCGACTCTGTTCAAAATGATGGCGAAAATCAGAATCAAATTTTCTTAACAAGTGAGAGGTAAAAATTAAATTTTCCTGAGAAATTTCTTCATCTAGAGCTTTAAGTGCTTCAATGTTTTCATTTAAAACAGACAAAAACCTTCTAAGTTGCTTCACTGAGGGATTGTGAAGAACTGGTAAGTCTAACACATTGTTGACATGAAGAGAGATTAGTAATCTTGTATTCTGATACCTTTTAAGTAGAGATTCCCATGCAATAAAATAATTAGCATTAGTCATAGGGATGTTTTTAACAACTGAAAGTGCCTCTCCCTCAAGACAGCTTAACAAATAACTCATTTTTTCAACACCAGAAATACTATCATTTTTATGAATAGTATTTTCAAACAAATTTTTGAACGCCATCCACTTTTCATGTTGACCTGAGAAGGTACCAAGTTGAAGTTTAGGAAGCTGTACACTAACCTTAGTTGTAGCTACTTGGCTGATAGCTGCATTGGAATCATCCAGGTTTGGCTGGCTCGACTGGTTAGAGCTTGGGGAAGGTATCAAGTTCACACACAAAGAGTGAATAGACACATAGAGATCACTTATTTCATCTTGTAATGTTGAAATTGTAGTGATATTTTCACTTTCATCTAATTCCTCAGGTAAAGGCACAGTGCCGAACAACTTATTCACTAATTTGTCAAAATCATTATTTTTGGCTGTAGCGGTGGAATCCAAAAGAGTGAGCTTTGTTATAAGTTGAGGAGTGATAGGTTCCTTTTCGATAGCAAGCACTTTTGCTTCAATTGACTTAAGCCTGGCTAGCACAAGCTCAGATTGCTACACAAAAGTTGAGAACCTCATTTTGAATAAGTCTTAAATTCAATAAAATTCCAAAATAAAAATAAATGCAGATTAAAATAAGTTTATAATGAGCAAAACTTATTTAAAGACAGCCAGGATTCATTGTATTAAATATTAATATTAGTCAACTTGAAATCAGAGAGAAATATTCAGCCATAGTTTAGGCCTATAAAAAGTTTAAGTCCCAGAAAATATCTACCTGCAATTATTTCCAGATAATAAATTTGAAATTCAATAAAACATGTTATTTCAAACACAAACTGTAATTAAATGTTCAATCCGTATTAATAAACATTCTTCTGTCACTTTAATTTAAAAGTGTAAGCAAACAATTGAGGTTATGAAAACATAAACAAAGTCTTGCATAATGACATTTAAGTTTTCATTTCTATCCATCAGCAGCGCTAGTGTTGATCAGCTGTGAAGTTGGTATGACTTCCATGATTTTCTGAATATTCAGCAACAAGAGAGAAACTTGTTTCACATTACAGGGGGGAGAGAGGGGGGCAGACAGGATGCAGCCCGATAATGCACAATAGAGAATAGACAAACTATGCATGAAAATACAGGAGTTGTAGACAGTACAGTCTGAGAACAAAATTTTCTGTCTGGGACAACAAAACTTTATGTGTTATTTCACAAATTACTGCAACAATTTAATAAATTGATAATAATGTGATCAAAAATATTTAATCCTCTTGTTAATGATACTTAATGTTGATGACAGATTTATTCAATTAATTTATTCAGTTCAAATAAATACAAAACTTAATAGTCACAGTAGATTATTTTCCATAGGCTGGGAAACTTCCGGCTCGAAGGACCATGTTATATATGGTATTAAGAGGTAAAATTGTGAGAAATACCTTTAGATCCTAAAACTGAAGATCCATTAGGGTTTTGGTAGAACAGGAACAAGATGAGCAGAGAAGCGATGGCTCTGGCCAGAGTGACGAGAATCGAAGGACCACAGATGAAAGATGATGTTGAGAAATGACTATTGTTGTGTAGTATGTAATTCTTCACTGATTTAAATTAAAACTCTTCTTCATTAATAAAAAGAAAGCAATTCACTACTCATGAATATTCTGGACTGTACACGAAAATTTACAACACATCTACTTTAAATAAAAATATCTTCTTGGATCCTAGCTTGACACTTGGTACTATAAATTTGGAATCCATATTTAAATGAGAAATGATGAAATAATCCACTTGGAGCGGTAAGAGAGAAAGAGAGATTAAAATATTTAATATGAACTAAACCAAAAGGTAAGCACTGTGTACTGTGAGAGAGGTGAGTCTAAACTGAACTGACTAGTACGAAGTGCTGTAGTGAACTTTGGACAGTGATGTCATCATATCAGCTGTTGTATCCTTTCAATAACTGAACTAAAAACTTGACTTGAATGTTAATACTACTTGATTAATTGTTTATATTTGACTGTATATAGTTCATATGTTATTAAATAAATATTTTATTAAATGTCCTTAGTTGAATTACTAAATATTTAACATACACTTTTCACAAGAATTAATCAGGTCTCTTGTAAATGATAGACCATAAAGGGAAAATTCAGAAACATAGACTTCGAAAAGTGGAACTCGAACATGAGATAAGAGGAGACGATGGATATGTTGATTCTCTCCTCACATTAATAACACATTTTATTCTTAGGTACTTTCCTGAAATCACAATGACTTTCGACCAAAGTACACTTTTCACATGAATAAATCAGGTCTCTTGGAAATGATAGACCATAAAGGGAAAATTCAGAAACATAGACTTTGAAAAGTGGAACTCGAACATGAGATAAGAGGAGACGATGGATATGTTGATTCTCTCCTCACATTAATAACACATTTTATTCTTAGGTACTTTCCTGAAATCACAATGACTTTCGACCAAAGTACACTTTTCACATGAATAAATCAGGTCTCTTGGAAATGATAGACCATAAAGGGAAAATTCAGAAACATAGACTTTGAAAAGTGGAACTCGAACATGAGATAAGAGGAGACGATGGATATGTTGATTCTCTCCTCACATTAATAACACATTTTATTCTTAGGTACTTTCCTGAAATCATAATGACTTTCGACCAAAGTACACTCTTCACAAGAATAAATCAAGTCTCTTGGAAATGATAGACCATAAAGGGAAAATTCAGAAACATAGACTTTGAAAAGTGGAACTCGAACATGAGATAAGAGGAGACGATGGATATGTTGATTCTCTCCTCACATTAATAACACATTTTATTCTTAGGTACTTTCCTGAAATCATAACGACTTTCGACCAAAGTACACTCTTCACAAGAATAAATCAAGTCTCTTGGAAATTATAGACCATAAAGTGAAAATTCAGAAACATAGACTTTGAAAAGTGGAATTCCAACATGAGTAAAGAGGAGACGATGGATATGTTGATTCTCTTCCCACTTTAAAAACACATTTTATGCTCAGGTATTTTCTTGAAATTCGATCAAAGGTTACTTCTCACAGGAATAAATCAGGTCACTTAGAAATGAGAGACCATAAAACCATTTAAATGGAAGAGGAGACGATAGATATGTTGATTCTTTTCCCACATTAAAAATAAATTTTATTTTCAGGCACTTCCCTGAAATCACAATGACTTTCGATCAAAGTAGACGTCTCAATAGAATAAATCAGGTCATTTAAAAATTAGACTACGCTATTCTTACTAAAGTATTTTATGAGACCAAATCATAAGACAAGATTGTTTCTCAGAAACTTTCTAGCAAAATTCATCATAACACATACCAAACAGCAGGACTAGAGCCAGCAACCTACCTAGGAATCACGTGGTACGTTGCTTGCCAGTAGATAGTGAAAATGAACTAAAATAAAAAAAAATTATTTTTTATGTGATATTAAATTAATCTGCTGGTATAATAGCTGTTGAACTGTGATTGTATTTCTGGTTCTCCTTCCCAAATGCTATGTTTGCAAATAAAAATATTTTTGATAATGATTATTCTACTGTATATTATAACGTTATATCTTAGATTCTTTCCCTACCTTCTTACTAACAATGTAATGGCCAATGTATAAATAAAAGGAAGATGCTTTAAGCTTACTGTAGTAAGGTAGGGACTCCGTAAGAGAAGAAAAGTGTAGAACGTGTAGATGAGATTTTGAAATGAGTGACTTACAATAACCATTACTTTATCTGACTTTGCATCTTACATCCATCAAAAATACGTTGATCAATATTTTGCTCTACTGTATACATAACGTGGACTACAAAGAAACTTCCTAACTTTCATTTATTTATTGATCATAACTTAGTCAATCAACTTGCCTGATGCAAGAGTCTGTTTGTCAACATCGATGTATTTCGCCGTCTTGAGTAGCAATTTTTCAGCTGCGCAGGTATGGTGCGCAAAAAGATGTCCAAACGATTTGAGATAACCAAGTATGTTGTGGTTCTGCGAGGTGTCAAATCAAGGACAAACAATCAGAGCGAGAACTAACTTTATAAACTACATTACCGACAGTACGAACTGCATTATTGACATGAGGGTTTGAAAATATTTTTCGTGGGATGTGTTCATGTGGACGTCTGCCAGTATGAGCATTATGGGGAAAAGGCTGGAATGATGTAACGGGCAATAAAGTTTCGAATACGAAATCGTAAGTATTGCTATTATTTGTGAACGATAGAAATTTTTTTTCAATTACAGACACACAACGACTTAGTAGACCCCACGTTTGGTTGTATGTGGCGACATTTGTTCACTTACTCGACTAGTCTACAAAACAAATGTATGCCTTATCACAAAATGTGTTAAGAAATCGTAAGTATTGTATGTAGTTTTTATAAGTTGTTTATTTTTTAGTTTGGTTTGACTATATCTAGATGGATTTTTAAATTTCTGAACCCTTAAGTTGAACATATTAAAATAGTGCTCAAGATTTGAGCAGTGACTTGGCAGTCATTTAAATGTAATCCTTTGTCAAAGGATAAACTATGTATATTTTCCCCCAAGTCCGTCAAGTAAGAAACAAAATACTTTATGGATATTATTTAAATAGACATAAACTAATAGACAATTAAAAATTTACGGAGTAGTATACCTCTACATGTTCTCTAAGTTGTTGGTAAATATTAGTTATTTAAGTTGTTAAATTTAGTTATTAAAAAATTTAAAAAAAATAAGTTGTCTATTGTAATGATTTGAAATGGTATCCGAAATTACGATTAGTTATTTTTAATAGTTTATTAATGTGTCAATATTGTTCCTAATAGCGGTGAAAGACAAGATTAATACAATTCATAAATTTTTCAACATTCCACCAAAGTTCAAACCTGTCAGGAGAAGAAAGTTTGTAATTGCAATTATAATGTGAGTCAACATTTATGCATATTTATACACACACGTGACTCACAGCCATCAAATTAAAATGCATCAAGTTTTTCGCTTTAATAAAGTTTTAATCATGTGCATATTTATTCCTCGGGTCCCTGCTTAGTCAATTCATCTCTAGAATGTGTTTACCGTCTATAACACCGTATATACTAGGTTGTGACACTTTTTGAGGTAGGTTTGTTTCAAGAGGAATATTAAGTATTTCTTGGTAGTTTTTTTATGATAGTGTTTAATGTTTAGTGTTTGCTTAATGCTAGGATATATTCCAGGGTTCAACATGTTGAGCGTTCTATTACGATGAACCTTCGGCTGAATTTTTAGTGGCATAATTTTTGACATTTGCACATCCTTACTTACATTAAAACACATACTTTACATGGTTAACGTTGCAGATCGAAAAGCCGAACATGATAACTAGTAGGCTTATTATAAAGTCTTTGGCTCTAATTTAGCGTTATTTTAGAAGAAGTGTTACTTGAATGCCTGAGGTTTTTTTTTTGTTTTCCATCCTCATTTTCCAGATGAAAATTTGTCCAGCTCTTGCATGATAATTATAATACCCCCGCCGCCGCAACCTGC